CACACACACACACACACACATATATATATATATATATATATATTTTGATTTTGTGTATGTGTATGGGATAAGGAATCACTATAAAAGATATATATACTATACGTTTTAAGGAAACAGTACATATGTTTTATACATTTTATCCATTTATGATTATCTCACAATAAAGAAAATTTAAAACCACAAGAAGCATAACAGAACTTTATAGTAGCCAAATTGATAAAGAGAATTTCAATTTCACAAGATACCAGGTCTTTCAAGTTCAGTTATAATCTGAACTGCTACAGATCTGACTAGGTAATAGATTACTTTTGCTGGGTGCTGGGGTGCATGCCTGTAATCCCAGCGACTGAGGAGGCTGAGGCAGGAGGTTCTCAAGTTCAAGGCTCAAAGCCAGCTCCAGCAGTTTAGCAAGACCCTAAACAATTTAGCAAGATCCTGTCTCACAATAATAATAATTATAATAATGGCTTAGGGGCTAAAAACTCAAACAAAAATACATTAACTTAAAAATAATTACTTTTACTTTTCCTGAATTGACTTGACTTAAATCTAGTGTCTGTCATCTGAGCATTGTTTTATTTTTAAACATATTTATTTATTTAGTGGCACTGGAGATGGAACCCAGGATCGCTTTACGACTGCACTACCTCCGCAGTCCTTTTTATTTTCTATTTTGAGTCAGGATCTTGCTACGTTGCCCAGGCTGGCCTCGAATTCGCAATCCTCCTGCCCTAGCCTCCCCAGTCGCTGGGATCAGAGGCGTGCGCCATCGTGCCTAGCGATGTTCTCATTTTTCCGCTCCCCGAAGGAGAAAACGCTAGTTTTCCCTCACACCTCTCCTTGATCAATGAGACCGTTGCTCGTGACACCTTATAAACCTGTGTGTTTCCTGATTTAACGACGTGATTTGGAGCTGCCTACCTAATTTCAGTGGGCTTCTACCTACTGTGAACTGCGTCATGTTTTCTACATTCCCTGGTCCTCTGTGAGTTTGAGAAGGTGAAAGGAGAGGGGTCTGGGCCAGCCCGTGGGCACGGAAACGTCTGCACGTGCCTCGAATCCCCCGTTAAAATCCGGGATTTGGGCTCTGGCGAGGCGCCGGGACGAGAAGCCCCGCCGAGGTCCGGCGCCCAGCTTCCACTCCCGAGCTCTGGTCCAGCTCCCTTCCTTCTCTTCCGGGTCGAGTGGACACCGAGGCTGAGCGGGGCGGGCTTTCTCCCGTGCGGGCTGCAGACTCCGTCGTCCCCCGCTGGAGCCCGGGCGCCCTCCCGCCGCCGGGGGCGCTGTGGGCCGCAGCGGGCCCGGTGCAGATGCGGTGGCGGCCGCCGAGCGGCTGCAGGGAGCTAGTGGCCGGGCCCAGGGAGCCCCCGCCCGAGACCGCGCCGCCGCCATGGGTAAGGGGAGCCGGCCGACAGCTGACGCCGCCCTCCGTCAAGGGCTGCAGGCTGCGGCCGGGCGGGGAGGCCTGCGCGGGGGCTGCGGGGGCCGTGGAGTCGGATCTGGGGCCGGAACCTGGGGTGGGCGGGGGCAGCCTAGATTCGGGGGCTCGGGGTCGCCATGGCAACGCGCGGCCCCACCTTGTTCTTTCCCGCCCCCGCCTGGATTCCGGGGTCTGGTGGCCGAGCACTGGAGGTCTGACGGCTTCTAGGGAGCGAAGACGAGGCGGGCTGGGTGTCGCTCCGGGGTCGGGGTTACAATCTGGGACGAGCGATGACTTTTCAGATTTGGGGGTGGCGAAGGGAAGACGCATCTCAGGTTTTGGCCTGGGCGCCCCACGCCGAGAGAGGGGGAGCGATGCCGTGCAAGACCCTGGGTGAGCCCTCCGCGGGGGTCTTGGGGGGCTGCCGGAGGCTGCCTTGGGTTGGGGTAGGAGGAGAGGCAGGGAACGGGCTCCAGGCCTCGGCTAGGTGCGCAGAGGGGCCCATTGCCTGGTCTCTCGGTGCATCTGCAGCCTCACCCGAGTCACGGAGTCCTGCTAGGGCGTGGCCGCAGCGCAAAGGTCCTCCGCCTGGCAGTCTCAGGTACTTAGCACCAACCTGCGCCCAGCAGCTGCGGTGATCCTTTGTATGGTTGTCATATCCCGCGTTATGGGTTTTGATGGGCACTATAAAATGAGAATCGTCACAGATTATGACACATCAGGTGGTTTCACTGGGGAGCCCTACCACCATGCAGATTTGAAGAAATAATGGTCCACACGTATTCCATTAAGTCGGCCTGGTCATAACACTTGGGTTTGTGTTTTAAATTCTTAAGAATTCAATGTAATGCTTCATGATAGCTAGCTGAAGTCAGATCTAGAATACTAAATTATGCGGAACTCTGAATTTTTGTTCAGTGAAGGAAAAATGGGCACTTTGACTACTTGGGCTTGTACATTAGTCAGCTATTATAGATAATTAAGTGTTATACTAAGTGCTTTGTTCCCCCTTTGTGCTAAAGGGGATTGAACTCAGGGGCGCTGTACCATTGAGCTATATCCCCAGCCCTTTCTATTTTTTTTTATGTTGAAATAGAGTCCTGCTAAGTTGCCAAGGCTGATCTCAGATTTGCAGGTCTTGCCCTTCGGAGTCGCTAGGATTATAGGCATGCACCACAAAGTGTTTCATTTTTCCACACCTCAGCTTTGTCATCTCTGTTTTCTGAAAATATTCCTGCCAGTCCCAAGTGATGAGAGTATGGGGAAGCATCTGTATTTCTTAAAGAATAAAATTTGTGTGAGAGAAGATATATTTGTGAGTTGAAAATGTCAGTTAAAAATCTGGACTTTAAAATATGTCTTGGCATTCAAACTCAAACACAGACATCACCAGCTATATGGAAGGACAGGGAACTGTGGTTCATGCAATACAAAACTACAATTGGAATGGAAAAACAAGATAGAAAGAAGGTTGAAGTGACTGAGAGAAGTGAGCAGCTTCCGCTTCTTCGTTTTTGTCGGTATTACTGTTTTAACGGATGTGTTTGTTATGAGAGATAGTAGTATCTTAGAGCTTTACCTTTTATTTTATTACAGGTTTATTCTGAACATTTTTTTGCTTGGAATTTATCCTTAAGAGCATATCTATTATCTACCATTTGCATGAGGCCCTTAAATGTGTCACCTATGTCCCCAACCTATCTCCTTAGAAAATCATTTTAAAAACTCATTTGTAGAGAAGAATTTCCATACAGTAGAACAACTGTAGGAGAATGGCAAAACTGCAGAAACTTAAAAATGATTCAGACCTTTGGCTGGAGCAGGCATGGCAGTTTGCTATGGTATGAGTGAGAGAGACATAAAGAGAAGTTAGGTAGGAGATAATCAGGAAAAAGGAAAAGCAAACCAGTGTTCATTTTATAGGGGAAGGGACAAAGTTTGTATATTTTTCATTGTCTTGTGAATGATGTTGGACTCCTTTCTTATGTTTCCAGCTACAAAAGACCCCACAGCTGTAGAGAGAGCAAACTTGTTAAACATGGCTAAACTGAGTATCAAAGGACTCATTGAATCTGCTCTCAGCTTTGGTCGCACTTTGGACTCTGACTATCCCCCTTTGCAGCAGTTCTTTGTTGTTATGGAACATTGTCTGAAACACGGTCTTAAAGGTATCATGAAATTTTTAAAAATTCACTTTAGATATCCTAGAAAATGTATTTTTGAGGCCATAAATTACTGTTATTTTGTGCTTAAAAAATATTGAGTGGGTTGATTTTGGGGAGAAAAATTACCATTTTGTTTTCTAATAGGTGATCTTCAGAAAATGCTTAATTGTTTGTAATTTTTTTTTCTTTATTAAACATTTTTTCAACATGTACCCTTGAACTGGTTTCCATTTTATAGAGCAATCAGAATTATTTTAAATTTCAAATTTCAAATGGTGATATGAACTCAAAGTTTGAGATCTATTAAACAAATACATTGAAATAGTAGATAGCGTAGCTGGACATGGTGGTGCACCCCACCCCTGCAATCCCTGCTCAAATTCAAGGGTACCCTTTGCTTAACAACTTAGTGAGAACTTGTCTCAAAAAATAAAAAGGTCGGGGGATGTAGCTCTGTAGAATAATATCCCTGCGTTCAATCCCCAATGCTATGAAGAACAAAAACAAAAAAACATTAGATTGTTAAAATAGGAACCTCCTTATTCTATGGGAACATATCTAGAGAAAGTATTCTCTGGTTTGGGTTATTATAGAAATGAAAGTGATCCCTGAAAAGATCATCCATTCTATTATACATTCATATTGTGAATGTAAAATGTTTGTTTTATGCTTAATTTCTTTTTCCAGTACTAGAAATCAATCTCAGAGCCTCCTGCATGCTAGGCAAGTGCTCTACAACTGGGTCACAACCCCAGTCCTAATAATTAAAAGTTGAAGAGTAGGTCTTATACAACATATACTTAAAAATTAAATATAGACTTGAAGATGTGGCTAAGCACTTGCCTAGTGTGCTTGTAGCTCTGGGTTGAGTTTCTATCACCAGACACACACACACAATTGACAGTTTGATTTGTAGTTCATATGATCAGCATTTACATGGATGGTATATAAGAGTTGTATGCTAGCCTTCATGGTGGTACACACCTATAGTTCCAGCTAGTAGGGAGGCTGAGGCAGGAGGAAAGCAAGTTCCAAGCTAGCCTGGGCAACTTAGTGAGACCCTATCTGAAAAATAAAAAGAGCTGGGGATATAGCTTAATGGTAAAACATCATTGGGTTCAATCTATAGTACCCCCCTGCCATTTTTTTTCTATATGATAATATTCATTTTTTACTTTTGTTTAAAAATGATTTTTTAAGATATTAGGGATTGAACCTAGGGATGCTCTATCACTGAGCTGTATCCCCATGCTTTTTATGTTTTGGTTACTAGGGATTGAACCCCTAGCCCTTTTTATTTTTTATTTTGAGACAGGTTCTTGCTAAGTTACTTAGGTCCTCACTAAGTTGCAGAGGCTGGCCTGGAACTTGTGATCCTCCTGCCTCAGTCTCCTGAATCACTGGGATGACAAGTATGCACTGGCTAAAGAATTAAAATAATTTCTTAAAATTGAGCTGGGCATGGTGGCACACACTCTAGTCTCAGCAGCTTGGAAGGCTGAGGCAAGAGGATTGTAAGTTCAAAGCCAGCCTCAGCAACTTAGTAAGATCCTGTCTCAAAACATAAAAGGGCTGGGGAGCCGGGCTTGGTGGCTCACACCTGTAATCCCAGCAGCTTGGGAGGCTGGGAAAGGAGGATTGTGAGTTCAAAGCCAGCCTCAGCAAAAATGAGGTGCTAAGCAACTCAGTGAGACCCTGTTGCTAAATAAATATTATATATACATATATACACATATATTTTATATATATAGTGTAGATAGATAGATAAATAGATATGATAGGGGATGTGGCTCAGTGGTTAAGTACCCTGGGTTCAATCCATAGAACCAAAAAAAAAAAAAAAAAAAAAAAAAAAAAAATTATATGAATGTTAGTGAAATACACTTTTTGGTACAGTATTCCCCCACCCTACCTTATCTGTGACCCCTCAGTGGATGTCCAAAACCATGAATAGTACCAAAACCTATGGTTTACTTTGTTTTTTCCTATGCATGACTATGAAAAAATTTAATTATCATTTAGACACAGTAAGAGATTAACAACAATAATAAAATAGAAAAATTATTATAATATACAGTAATAGAAGTTGTGTGAATGTGGTCTGTATGGAATTTTCTATGTAATACTTTCAGACCATAGTTGACTACAGGTACCAAAGTATAGAAACCTCAGATAGAGGGAACTATTGAAGTATATCAAACAATATAACATAAAATAAAATAATGCCTGGCACAGTGGCAAAAATCTGGAGTCCCAGCTACTCAAGAGACTGAGTTGGGAGGATTCATTGATCCCCAAGTTTGAGACCAGCCTGGGCAACACAGTGAGAACCCATCTCAAAAACAAAAACAAACAAAAATCATAACTACAAAGAGCAAAATATGAATTCTGTTCGTTCCTTTCCATTCATCTTCCTGAAGAGAATCATTCTTTCAGTTCTTTTCTGTTTTTTTCCCTTTTTCTCTAAATACCATGGTGTTTTATTATCCTGCAACTTTTGTTTTTGGAGAACTTTACATAGAAAGATTCCTAAGAGTATTATTACCAGGTCAAAAGATATAATTGGCATTGTACGGGCTTCACTGATTTATCAACTAGAAGTGGACAAGAGCATTTGTTTCCCCACATTTTTGTTCTCTCCTGATGTTGTCAGTCTCTAAACACGTTTTTTGTTTTGTTTTTGAGAGGAGCTCTCCTTATCTTGCCCAGGCTGGTCTCAAACTTGGGGATCAATGAATCCTCCCAACTCAGTCTCTTGAGTAGCTGGGACTTCAGATCAAGCCACTCTCCTGCCTCAGACTCCCAAGTAGCTGCAACTCCAGGTGCTTCCACATTCTGCTTCAAAATACTTTTAATACATAGAAAATCACCAATCTGGTCCAATCAGACCTTCGTGATTTTTAATTTCCTTTTCAAAAAATTTTATTTTTTAAAATAGCAGTGATATAAATCTTTATTTTCCCAAAGCCTAATAAATTGAAATTTGGAATTTGCTGGCCAAAATAGTTATTTTCATAATTCATTATCATTTACAAAATATAGTAAGCCATTTCCTATGACTATAGGCTTATCTTCCCCCCACCCTTTTTTTAGTACTAGAGATTGAACCCAGGGGCACTTTACTGCTGAGCTAGGTGCCTAACACTTTTTAAATTTTTATTTTGAGATGGGTCTCACTAAGTTGCTTTGGAATAAGTTGCTTAGGGCTCACTAAGTTCCTGAGGCTTGGAAGCCTCATGCCTCAGCCTCCATAGTTGCTGGATTACAGGTGTGTGTCATAGTGGCATCCCCAACCCTTTTTATTATTTTTTTATATCTTTATTTTTATTTGTTTATTTTTATGTGGTGCTGGAGTATGAACCCAGGACCTCACGAGTGCGAGGCAAGCACTCTACCACCGAGCTACAACCCCAGTCCCCCTTTTTATTTTTTGAGTCAGAGTCTTGCTAAGCTACTGAGAACCTTGCTAAATTCCTGAGACTGGCCTTAAATTTGGGATCCTCCTGCCTTAGCCTCCCAAGTGACTGGTGTGCACCAACCACCAAGCCTGGTTCCTTCACTTATCTTAATGCATTTAGGTGTTTTTTTTTTGTGCTGGGGATTGAAACCAGTGGAGATTAACCCCTGAGCCATATCCCCAACCCTTCTTAAAAAATTTTTTTGAATAAGGGCCTTTTTATATATATTTAGTTATCGATAGACATTTAATTAATTTATTTTTATATGGTGCTGAGACTTGAACCCAGTGCCTCACACATGCCAGGCAAGCACTCTGCCACTGAGCTACAACCCCATTCCCTTGATTGAGGTCTTGCTAAGTTGCTTAAAGACATTACTAAATTGCTGAAGCTGCTTTGAACTTGTGATTCTTCTGCCTCAGCCTCTGGAGTATTTGGGACTGGAGGTGTACACCACTTGCCCAGCTGATTTTATGGTTTTATATTACTCAAATAATCAGAATAAATACAAATAAATTCATAATTTTTCATAATTAAAAGGAAAACACCTTGTTATTTGTGCTTGGCTTATTTAAACTTGTAAAGATCAATCTTCAAGGGCCACCAGTCTTTATTTTTGTACTGGTCAAGAATGAGTCTAGGGCTGAAGATGTAGTGAGTTCAATCCTTATCACCACATAAACATAAACAAATAAAATAAAGGCATGCTGTCCATCTACCAAAAAAAAAAAAAGGATGAGTTGTTTAATTACTTGCTACATTCTTTTCTTTCTAAAGTGGTATAGGGGATTGAACCCAGGAGTTCTTTACCCCTGAGACATATTCCTAGCCCTTTTAATTTTTTAATTTTGCAACAGGGTCTTACTAACTTGCCTAGGATGGTGTCAAACTTAGAATACTCCTGCCTCAGCCTCCTGTGTTGCTGGGATTACAGGCGTGTGCCATCATGACCAACTCTGCCTGCATACTTTTGATATGAAAGACTGGCCAAAAAGCATTTTTCTGATATGGCAAAATGTGTGTGTGTCAGGGGCAGAATGGGCAACAAGTTCCTGATTGAACAGGTTCCTGATCAACAAGAATGGAAAAGTGGGGCATGGAGGGGCACACCTATAATTCCAGCTACTCAGAATGCCTAGATAGTATTGGAAGTTCCAAGTCAGTCTAGGCAGTTTTATTGATACTTTGCCTAAAAAAAAAAAAAAAAAAAAAACAAGGGCTGGAGATGTAGCTCAGTGGTAAAGAACCTCTTTACCACTTTGGGGCTGGGGCTGGGGTTGTGGCTCAGCAGTAGAGTGCTTGCCTAGCACGTCCAAGGCGCTGGGTTCAATCCTTAGCACCACAATAAAATAAAGGTCTTGCGTCCAACTGCAACTAAATATATATATATGTGTGTGTGTGTGTGTGTGTGTGTGTATCACCTCTGGGTTAAATACCCAGTACCAAAAAAATTAGTTAAAAAAAATAAAGAAGTGGGAAGGTCTTTGAATAATGGTATGTTAATATTTAAGGTGAAGTTAATACCATTTTATATGTTGAAACTGTGGGTATTGTACTTTCTTCTTTCTTTTTTTTTTCCCTCCAGTAAGAAAATCATTTTTGAGTTACAACAAAACTATTTGGGGCCCTCTGGAACTGGTGGAGAAGCTTTACCCAGAAGCAGAGGAAATAGGAGCCAGTGTCCGAGACTTACCTGGTCTTAAGTAAGTAATGTTATTAGTTGTTCATTCTTAACCTCCGCAGTGTATTTACTGTCCTCTAACATACCTCAGTTTATCATCTTCTCTCAGACTTAATGATACCAAGAATTTAGTCCTTGTCCCTGGTTAAAATCCAATGACAAGGACAAGGTTTAAGGAAAAAGAAGATTATTGCTTTGCCAGCAAAGGAGAATACACAGTGGACTCCTATCCCAGGGGCTGTGATTCTAACAACCAGGGGAAATAGTGGGCTTTTAAAGAGGGGATACAAAGGCTGCACTCTGGCTGTGCCTCGTCAGGAGTTTCAATTCAGTTTTAGCCTTGAGAGGTAGCCATTTCTGAGACCCCTTGGTGCCAGCTCTGAAGTCTATATTCCTTCATTCTTGTGCCCTGAGCAGAAAGACAGATAACTTGACCCAGGACAGAAAGGTTAATCTTGTTTCCCCATGATTAGGGAGGAAAAAAAGGAAGGGGGGGGAGGATCCAGTTTTAAATTAAGCTGCAGTGGCAGAGCAGCAAGGGTTATATTCAAATCATGAGTGGACCCCTATTATATTACATACCCTTCTTTTCTTGTCTTCTAATAAAATTAGGTTCATGCTTTGTTTGTTTTTAAACTAGGGATTGAACTCAGAGGTGCTTTACCACTGAGCCACATCCCCAGCCCCATCCCCATTTTATTTTTTTTTTTAGTTTTAGGTGAACACAATATCTTTGTTTTATTTTTATGTAGTGCTGAGGATTGAACTTAGTGCCTCACACCCATCCCCATTTTAAATATTTATTTAAAAATTTTTTGAGACAGTGTCTCACTAAATTGCTTAGGGCTTGCTAAGTTGCTGAGACTGGCCTTGAATTTGTGATCCTCTTGCTTGAGCCTCTGGGATCACAGGCATGTACCCCAGAACTTGGCAAACTGTTTATTCTATATGATTCAGCTCAGATTCCACCTCCTTCAATAAAAGTTAACCATCCTTCCTTTTTTTTAAATATCTTTGTTTTATTTATTTTTATGTGGTGCTGAGAATTGACCCCAGGGCCTCGCACATGCGAAGCATGCGCTCTACGGCTGAGCCACAACCCCAGTTCTCCCATCCTTCCTTTTAAGTTCTTACCACTAAGGGGGGGAGTAAATATATATATTTGTTGTATCATTACTTCAGTTTCATTGTATTGTAGGAAATTGTAAGTCCCTTTAAGAGGCTGTATCAACCTAAGTGTGGTGGCACACATCTGTAATCCCAGCAATTCTGGAGACTGAGGCAGGAGGATCACAAAATTGAAGGCCAGCTTTGACAACTTAGCAAGGCCCTAAGCAATTATCAAGACTTTGACTCAAAATAAAAAAATAAAACAAGGCCTGGGGATGGTGCTCAGTGGTAAAATGCCCCTAGGTTCAATCCTAATTACCAAAAAAAAAAAAAGGATATATTAATTCTACATCTGTTCTGAGGGTTAAACTAGTTTCTTCAAAGTAGGCAGTCAATAACTATTTGTTGAAGACTGAAGTAGGCTGAATCCAAGGCAAAGATTCAGTAGAGTTTTCAGTTAAACTCTTCATATACCATAGGATTTGTGCAAATTGTTTCCTTCCACCTGAAATTGGAGCCTATAGTGCCATCTGCTTGTTTTTTTTTTTTTTTTTTTGGATTAATGTATGTGAAATGCCCTAAAAGCTGGAAACTTCCAGCTAAGAAATCATGACTGTTGAAACCTTTGCTGAGAATTGGATTCAAGGCCTCACACGTGTTAGGCCGGTGAGCTACAACCACAGCCCAAGGCTAAGTTCCCATGTTTCTTTCTTTTTTTCCTCTTTTTTGTACCAAGGGTTGAACCAGAGGCACTACACCACTGAGCCATATCCCCAGCTCTTTTTTATTTTTTATTTTGAGACAGGATTTCATTAAGTTGCTATGGCCTCACTAAGCTGCTGAGGCTGGCCTCAAACTTGCAATCCTCCAGAGATAACTTTTTTATGCTTAGGATTTTCTGTCAGGATTATCAGTTTGTTTTTTCCAACTCTGACTCTCTCAGTTTGTATTTTCTTTACAACTTAGGGTTTTATATGTTGTGGGGAATATGATAGTGTTTTCAGATATTTGTAAATTGGGCTTAATTGAGTGATGAGAATAAATGGCTACTACTGAGCACTGTGTGGGTAATATGTAATCTTTTTACAAAAATTGTCTCATTTAGTTGTGTTTTTTTTTTTTTTTTTTTTTTTTTAACAGGCATTGAACCCAAGGGTGCTAAACTACATCTCCAGCCCTTTTTATGTTTTATTTTGAGACAAGGCCTTGCTAAGTGTCTGAGTCTGACTTTGAATTTATGATCCTCCTGCCTCAAAATCCCAAAATGCTGGGATTACAGACATGTGGTAACACATCTGGCTCATTTAATTTTTGCCAATCTTATAGGGTAGATATAATAATTATATAGATGGAAAAAATTAAGGTCAGATAAGTGGTATCGGCTGGGCATGGTGGTGCATTTCTGTAATTCCAGTGAGTCAGGAGGCTGAGAGAGGAAGATTGTAAATTTGAGGTCAACCTCAACAAATTAGTGAGGCCCTAAGAAACTTAGTGAGACCCTGTCTCAAAATAAAAACTTTTGAAAAAAGACTGGGGATGTGGCTCAGTGCTTAAGTAACTCTGGGTTCAATACCTGGTACCAAAAAAAAAAAAAAAATTTTTTTTCTTAAAAACTACCTGCCAAGCCAGGTCCTGTGGCACACGCCTGTAATCCCAGCTGCTTAGGAAGCTGTGACAGGAAGATCAAGAGTTCAAAGCCAGCCTCAGTAATGGTGAGGTGCTAAGCAACTCAGTGAAACCCTGTCTCTAAATAAAATACAAAATGGGGTGGGGATGTGGCTCAGTGGTTGAGTGCTCCTGAGTTCAATCCCCAGTACCAAAATAACAAAACAAAAACCTACCTGCCATTGGCTGGGGTTGGGGCTCAGTGGCAGAGTACTTGCCTAGAATACGTGCGATACTAGGTTCAATCTTAGCACCGTATACAAAAATAAATAAAATAAAAGCATGCTGTCCATCTACAACTACAAAAAAATAAAAATAAAAATAAATAAAATTACCTGCCAAAATCTTCTCTGCGTAAGAACATGTGAAAGTAAACTGGGCAAGGGGGTGCAGGCCTATATTCCCAGCAATTTAGGAGATTGAGGCAGGAGGATTGTTAATTTGAGGGCAGCTTCAGCAACTTGCAAGGCCTTAAACAACTTAGCAAGACCCTGTCTCCATAAAGGGTTGGGGATGTGGCTCAGCAGTTTAAGCATCCCAGGGTTCAATTCCCAGTACTTCAAAAAAAAGAAGAAAGTATGAATGATACCATTCTCTTAAAAAAATCTTTGAAATTTGATTTTATTTTTACTAAAATATAGAATTTAAAATTTGGATAAAAGAAGTACGAGATTTAATTTCTCTTTTTGTGTGTCTGGCCTCTTTCTCTCTTTCTTCCCACCCTACCCCCCAGCACCCTGTACTAGGGGTTGAACTGAGGGGTTGTTTACTACTAAGCTACATCTCTACCTTTTTATTTTTTATTTTGAGACAAGGTCTCACTAAGTTGCCAAGGCTGACCTCAAATGTGTCATCCTCCTGCTTCAGCCTCCTGAGTCAGTGGGATTACATGGTGAGCCAACATGTCCAGCTGTATACAGCTTTACTGATGCATTTTTGCCTATTCACTTTTAGAGGGCTAAGACTATTTAGACAAAATACTTCTTGTAGAAATATTCTCACTATTTAGTGAATCATTTCTTTGTGTTTATTTATTAATTTTAAGATGAAGTCTCACTAAGTTACTGAAGGCCTTACTAGATTGCTGAGGCCAGCCTCAAACTTGTGATCCTCTTGTTTTAGCCTCCAAAGTTGCTGGGATTACAGGCATGTGCTACCGTGCTGGCTGTGAATCATTTCTTTATTTTTTATTGGTACATTATAATTATAATATTGTGATTTATTGTTACATATTTGCAACATACTTTGGTCAACTTCATTTCCCAGTATCGCTTCTTTTAAGGCATAAAATGGTACTTACATACCCTATAGGAGCAGGGACTGGTTAACTTGCTGGCTTAAAACTATAAAAATGAGCTTTGGACCATGGTAGCATCGTAGCCAATAAGGTTATCCAAGGTGTGATTATTGCTAATTGAAAACTATAAAATTGAGAAGAACACCATGATAAAATGGCTTTTTTCTTTGTTGTGTACCTCAACAGAGATGGGACATGTATTCCATGGTCTTAGAGCTAAGGCTATTTTCTGACCATTTGGTTCTTATTTTTAGGACCCCACTGGGTCGTGCAAGAGCATGGCTTCGATTAGCCCTCATGCAGAAAAAAATGGCTGATTACCTGCGTTGCTTAATTATTCAGAGGGATCTCTTGAGGTTGGTACCGTTAACTCATGTTCATTTTTTTTCATTTATATTCTCTCTTCTAAAAATGATCCAGCCTGTAGTATAAAAGGATATATAAAATATAAAAATGTGACATAAAATACAAGAGGAGTAAAATGAAAGAGAGGAACTAACACCAAATAGGAATACTGTAGGGTTTTTATCAGCTAATATAGGGAAATTTACATATGTTCTGTTTCTAAGTTAGTTGATTTTTCTGAATTATAGTTAATTCTATGGATAAAAATTTGCTTTGGAATTTGGGGATTAATTCTGTTTCTTCCTAGGTCTTGTATGTCCAGTACAGATAAATGCTTCAACTATGTTGTGAGCACTGTTTAAACTGAAGGTCAAATATTTCAGACAACCAGAGAAAGGCAATCAGTCTTTCAAGGGAGTGTACCCAGGGCAGCCTTTCATATGTCCTTGGTGTTAAAGTCTCTCTCTCAAAGTTCTGAAGAGCATGGTCCTGTTTTTCTTTCTTTCTTTTTTTTTTTTTAAAGAGAGAGAGAGAGAGAGAGAGAGAGAATTTTTTAATATTTATTTTTTAGTTTTCAGCAGACACAACATCTTTGTTTGTATGTGGTTCTGAGGATCGAACCTGGGCCGCACGCATGCCAGGCGAGCGCGCCACCGCTTGAGCCACATCCCCAGCCCCCTGTTTTTCAATTTACGTATGACTTTGGTTCTATATCTCAGTACTCCCATTAGTAAAATGAGAATATCCATACTTTAAGCCCTGTAATTTCTCAACAATATTCTGAAGATTGAGGAGGACATGAGAGGGTGTTAACTACTTTGTGAGTATAGACAAGGGATTCTTAACCACTGAGCCACATCCCCAGTCCTTTAATAATTTTTTAAAATTTTGAGATAAGATCTTGTTAAGTTGCATAGGGCCTCGATAAATTGCTGAAGCTGGCTTTGAATTTTCAATCCTCCCTCAGCTGGGATTTAGAAGTGTTAGCCACCACGCCTAGTATTAGATTACCCTACTTCTTTCACAGGTCTCTTATTTGAACTTTTTTTTAAATACAGATATCCACATGTGAATCAATCTATCTATCTATCTATCTATCTATCTATCTATCTACTTTGCAGTATTGGGGATTGAACTCAGGGGCATCTCTACTACTGAATTGCATCCCCAGCCCTTTTTTTATTCTGAGACAGGGTCTCACTAAATTGCTGAGGTTGTCCTGGAATTTGTGATCCTCTTGCTTTCAGCCTTTTACCTTGCTGAGATTATAGGCTGAACCACTATGCCTGGCTTTCCATAAGTATGTTTAAAAGATAACTTAAAATACACCTTTGAAATGCACTGATTTGAACATGGGCTTTGAAATATTTCGTTATTGTTTTTATTTTTATTTATTTTGGTACTGCGGATTGAATTGAGGGGTGCTTATCCATTAAGCCACTTCCCCAGTCCTTTTTTTTTTTTAATTTTTTTTTTAGTTGTTGATAGACCATTATTATTATTTACTTATATGCGGTGCTGCGAATCGAACCCAGTGCCTCATCCATGCTAGGCAAGCGCTCTACCACTGAGCTATAATCCCAGCCCTTCCCCAGTCCTTTTTATATTTTATTTTGAGGTCTCACCAAATTACCTAGGACCTTGCTAAATTGCTAAGGCTGGCTTTGAACTTGCAATTCTCCTGCCTTAGCCTCCCAAGTTGCTAGGATTGCAAGCATGTGCCACCATAATTGGCTATTTTTATTTCAAAAAAATTTTTGTGTAGTATTGGGGAGTGAACCCAGGGATGTTCTACCTCTGAGCCATGACTCCAGCCTTTTTAATTTTTAATCTCGAGACAGGATCTCACTGAATTGTCAAAGTTGGCCTCAAACTTTTGATCCTCCTACCTCAGCCTCCCTAGTTGCTAGGATTATAGGGGTGTGCCACCTATAAGCGAAGCTTGAAATGTTTTATAGTTATTTTCCACCTTAGTTTTTATCCCAAAGGTTTTAGTGAATCCTAGTTCTGAAAATTCAGTTCTAATAAAATGAACAATTAGATTAGCAAATCGCTGCATGTGCATGTTTATTACTGAGAATTGAAACTAGTGTGTTCTACCACTAAGCTATATCCTTTTTTTATTTTGAGGTAGGTTCTCACTAAGTTTTTGAGGCTACCCTCAAACCCATAATCCTCTTGCCTCAGTCTCCCAATTGGCTGGGATTACAGACCACTATGCCAGCCCACCGTCCTGAAAGTCTGAAATACTTCAGGTGTCAGTGTTGCCTTTCTTTTAATCTCACTTTGCTTTTCTCTTTCTCTCTTAAAATTACTTTTCCTGTTTTATTTCCTTTAGTCCTTTTTCTTCCAACTTTTTAAAAACATTTAAATTTTGAAAAGTTAACATGTAGAAAGGTTAATTTTAAAGTTACTGAACACGGCTGGGAGCATAACTCAGTGGGAGAGCGCTAGTGTAGAATGCATGAGGCCCTGAGTTCATCCCATAGCACTGCAAAAATTTTAAAAATAAAGGCATCTAGCATGGATTGCATCCATGTCTGCAAGGTGGGAGATAAGTTGCTAAGATTTCAAAGTTTTATTTTAGAAATAAATTTGTGATTTAAGGTTTTTGTTCTTCTAATTTTCACAGTGAGTTCTATGAATATCATGCACTAATGATGGAAGAAGAAGGAGCAGTAATTGTTGGACTGCTGGTTGGTCTGAATGTAATAGATGCTAATCTTTGTGTGAAGGGAGAGGATTTAGACTCACAAGTAAGTGCAGAAGGTTTTCAGTTTGCACACTTACTCTTGATCGAGATGTCACTCCAGGTTGTAAACAGTGCTATTAAACACTAAAGAAAAATTAAGAGGGGAAAAAGAGTTGCATGATTAAGTATCATTTCTTCCCTTTAAATAAAAATAACTTTATTAATTTCAGGTTGGAGTGATTGATTTTTCCATGTATTTAAAAAATGAAGAAGATATTGGAAATAAAGAAAGGTATGATTTTCCTAAGTTGTTTCACTTTTTTTAAATATTTATTTTTTAGTTTTTTTTTTAGGTGGACACAATATCTTTTTTTTTAATTGGTTGTTCAAAACATTACAAAGCTCTTGACATATCATATTTCATACTTTAGATTCAAGTGGGTTATGAACTCCCACTTTTACCCCGTATACAGATTGCAGAATCACATTGGTTACACATCCACATTTTTACATAATACCATATTAGTAACTGTTGTATTCTGCTACCTTTCCTATCCTCTACTATCCGCCCCCCCTCCCCTCCCATCTTCTCTCTCTATCCCATCTGCTGTAATTTAATTCTCTCCCTTGTTTCTTTTTTAAATTTTTTTCCCTTTCCCCTCACAACCTCTTATATGTAATTTTGTATAACAATGAGGGTCTCCCTCCATTTCCATGCAGTTTCCCTTTTCTCTCCCTTTCCCTCTCACCTCATGTCTCTGTTTAATGTTAATCTTTTCCTCTTGCTCTTCCTCCCTGCTCTGTTCTTAGTTGCTCTCATTATATCAAAGAAGACATTTGGCATTTGTTTTTTAGGGATTGGCTAGCTTCACTTAGCATAATCTGCTCTAATGCCATCCATTTCCCTGCAAATTCCATGATTTTGTCATTTTTAGTGCTTCGTAATACTCCATTGTGTATAAATGCCACTTTTTTTATCCATTCATCTATTGAAGGGCATCTGGGTTGGTTCCACAAAGTCTAGCTATTGTGAATTGTGCTGCTATGAACATCAATGTGGCAGTATCCCTGTAGTACGCTCTTTTAAGGTCTTCAGGGAATAGTCCGAGAAGGGCAATAGCTGGGTCAAATGGTGGTTCCATTCCCAGCTTTCCCAGGAATCTCCATACTGCTTTCCAAATTGGCCGCACCAATTTGCAGTCCCACCAGCAATGTACAAGAGTACCCCTTTCCCCACATCCTCGCCAGCACTTGTTGTTGTTTGACTTCATAATGGCTGCAAATCTTACTGGAGTGAGATGGTATCTTAGGGTGGTTTTGATTTGCATTTCTCTGACTGCTAGAGATGGTGAGCATTTTTTCATGTACTTGTTGATTGATTGTATATCCTCCTCTGAGAAGTGTCTGTTCAGGTCCTTGGCTCATTTGTTGATTGGGTTATTTGTTATCTTATTGTTTAATTTTTTGAGTTCTTGTATACTCTGGATATTAGGGCTCTATCTGAAGTGTGAAGGGTAAAAATTTGTTCCCAGGATGTAAGCTCCCTATTTACCTCTCTTATTGTTTCTCTTGCTGAGCAAAAACTTTTTAGTTTGAGTAAGTCCCATTTGTTGATTCTTGTTATTAACTCTTGTGCTATGGGTGTCCTATTAAGGAATTTGGAGCCCGACCCCCCAATATGTAGATCGGAGCCAACTTTTTCTTCTATCAGGCGCAGAGTCTCTGATTTGATATCAAGCTCTTTGATCCACTTTGAGTTAACTTTTGTGCATGGCGAGAGAAAGGGATTCAGTTTCATTTTGTTGCTGGACACAATATCTTTATTTTACATTTATGGGTGCTGAGGATTGAACCCAGTGCCTCACGCACGCTAGGCGAGTGCTCTACCACTGAGCTACAACCCCAGCCCCTTATTTCACTTTTTTTAAAAAAATATAGCTCTTTAAAAATTAATTTTAGATTCATCTATTTACATTGTGGTTTGTGTCCAGGTCCCCTGTCACTCCCACCCCATGACTCCTTTTTTGTTTCATTTTACTTTCTTTAAAAGCTTTACAAAGCAAAATGAGAAAAATCAGTTGGAAGAAGGTGACTTTAATGTGAAGTAGGACTTTTGATCATACCTGTACTTAATAAGATCCATTTTAATAGTGAGTAATTTATTGAACAAAAATTATGATTACTTAGTACACAGTTTATATCTGAGACTACAAAAATCCTTGAAGTTTGTTTTAAAGGCAAGACAATGTTGTTTTCTGATAATTTTTTAGATGATTTAGATATTTTCCCCACCCTTCCAAATAGCATAAAGCTTCTTTTTCTCCCCTCTAGGAATGTTCAAATTGCTGCTATTTTAGACCAAAAAAATTATGTTGAAGAATTAAATAGACAACTCAAGTAAGTATTATGGATATCTCACATACTTATTAATATTCTTAGGCTTTGCTTTCAGTTTAAATCTTTCCTTTCTCCTAAGCTTAGTTAAGAAAGGGTGGAAAGAATATATAGAGAGAACAGAAATTAAAAATACATAGAATTGAGCTGGGTGTGGTGGTGCGTGCCTGTAATTCCAGCAGCTTGGGAGGCTGAGGCAGAAGAATCTCAAGTTCAAAACCAGCCTCACAAAAGCGAGGCGCTAAGCAACTCAGTGAGACCCTGTCTCTAAATAAAATACAAATTAGAACTGGGAGTGTGGATCAGTAGTCAAGTGCCCCTGAGTTCAATCCCTGGTGCCCCTCAAAAGAAAAAGGTTTGGGGATGTGGCGCAGAGGTTAAGCACCCCTAGGTTCAATCCCAAGTTCCAAAAAAAGAAAAGGAAAAAAAAAAAGAGTTAAAGAAAAATGATTTAGTACGAACAGAAAAATATTTTTCTTATTTCACCAATCTTATATACAAATACTTGTGTCTGAGGATGGTATAAAATTTGTTGTGTCTATAGATCTAAAAAGAACAGATAAATAAATAAAAATTGTTTGGTTTACTATAAATATTGCTGTAATAGATTATATTACATATTATTGGGAAAAGTTTGAGAGGATATTATTAAGTAGGCCTTGGACAACAGACCTAATAAATGTATAATAGTGTCCACTCCTTTTTTTTTTTTTTTTGTTCTAGGTATTGAACCTAGGAGTGTTTTACCACTGAACTTCATCCCCAACCTTTTTAAAATTTATTTATTCATTTATTTATTTATTTATTTATTTTTTAGTTGTAGTTGGACACAATACCTTTATTTATTTATTTTTATATGGTGCTGAGGATCTAACCCAGGGCCTCGCACGTGCACGGCGAGCACTCAACTGCTGAGCTACAATTTCAGCCCTAAAATTTTTTATTTTGAGGGGCTGGAGTTGTAGCTCAGTGGTAGAGTACTTGCCTCACATGTGTGAGGAACGGGGTTCGATTCTCAGCACCACATAGAAATAAGTAAATAAAGGTCCATTGATAACTGAAAAAATATTTAAATTTTTTTTTTTTTTTTTTTTGAGACAGGTCTTACTAAGTTGCTGAGGCTGATCTTGACCTCGCTATTCTCTGCCTCAGCTTTCCCAGTCACTGGAATTATAAATGTACACCACTGTGTCCTGCTAGTATCCACTCTTGATCCACTTAGAAATACAAAACCAAATGTGTTTGTGTAGAGTTACATGCGTTTTGACTATATTCACGAAAGATAGGGTGTCTAGGTACCAGCCAAATGGGTACCTGCTGCTGGGTATCTCATATCCATGTTTTTCAAGCTATGTGTGACTTTGAAGGTTTGTTTCTAAGTTATTATGAAAATAGGGGAAACAGATTGGGAGTTGAACTGAAAAGCACTGTATGTTTCATTAAGCCACATGATTATAGAGTGTACATTTAAAATTTATTCTTTTAAAAATAATTTAAATTTTAACAATATTTATTAATTTTGTGTGGAATTTCCATTCCTCAACTGGTAAACGTTATCAGTTAAATGTAAGAAGGACTCTAAGAAGACAATGAAAAATGAACAGTCCTAGGTTGATTATTTTGTTTTTTTATTATGGTGTTGGGGATGGAACCCAGGGCCTTGCACATGCTAGGCATGTGCTCTACACACTGAGCTATATCACCAGTCCTGGTATGTGAATAGAAATATTGTTTTGCTGACCTAGCCAAATAAGTTATCTTAGTAAATGAAATTTCCCACTTCCAGACATTTGTTCAGGATAGTTGGTATATGTCACATAATGAGTCCAGGATAACATTGATTTTCTTGCCTTCGTGAGTTTGTATGATTGTGAATGAGTATTTTCTTTTGTTAATTTCAGCAGTACAGTCAGCAGCCTCCACTCAAGAGTCGATTCATTGGAAAAGTCAAACACTAAGCTGATTGAAGAGGTACTGTCTCCCAGTAATGGATGATTTTTTTTGATGGATCTACTATTTGTGATCCTTTTCCCTTTTAAGTATAAAGCCATTAAGTGGATCTGTACACACACACTTTTATCATGATGGAATACTTGCATTTATAATTGGTGATTGTGAATTCTAGGAAAAACATATATTCATAGACAAATTCCCAGTTATGCAAATCTGTGGATACTATTGAGATACTTAACTTCTGAAAATGAGCCCCAGAGATGGACTTTTCTATAGATAAGTTATGATTCTCATTTTAAATCTGAATGATGTATAGTTAGATAGTGGATTGACCTATAGTTAGAAATTCTTTTTTCATTGACACTGTGTGTCCCTGTTTTTCCACTATTCAGCTTATTTTTCTTCACAAGCATCATTGCATGGTTGTGTCTGCCCTTCTTCAACCCTCTCATGTGTAAAAGTCATCCCATTTGTCCTGGTTTCCTCTGTTGTGAATGTGGCAATCCAGGAGTCTGAGAGCTCATTTGAAGAACCAAAAACTTGTCTCAACTGTCTTGTTCAAACTATTTGCAGTTATTTTTCTAGAAAAGTTAAAATCTATCAGTCAGGAGTGGTGGTGTATGGCTTTAATCCCAGCTACGTGGGAATCTGTGGATTGGAGAATCACAAGTTTGAGGCCACCTTGAGCAGTTTAGTGAGACTCTGGCTCAAAATAAATATCTACCAAATCAAAGAACTTTTGCTTCCTATTTTCAAGATTTTTTAGACTAGAAGAAGAAGCCTGTTATTAGTACTATGAACCGTATTTTCCACGTTAATTAAAATTCTTAATTCTTTAAGAATCGGCCTGTTCTTGGGGCTGGGGTTGTTCGGTGGTAGAGCGCTTGCCTAGCATGTGTGAGGCACTGGGTTGGATCCTCAGCACCACATAAAACTAAATAAATAAAATAAAGGTATTGTGTCCATCTACAATAAAAATAAAAAATAAAAAAGAGAATTGGCCTGCTCTTTCTAAATCATAGAATACTTGATGCTTTACAGTATTGCAATTCAAAATCTATCTTTATGTTGATGATTGGACTCATTGGGTCCATTATTGCTGCTTACTAGTTCGTGCCTCTTCTTTTTGGTGCATGTGTGGCACTGGGAATTGAACCCAGGGATACTCCACTACTGAGCCACATCCCCAGTCCTTTTTATATTTTATTTTGAGATAGGATCTTGCTAAGCTGTTTAGAGCCTTGCTAAGTTGCTGAGGCTAGGTTTGAATTAGAGATCCTTCTACTCGGGCTCCCAAGCTGATGAGATTACAGGTATGCATCACTGAGCTCAGCTGCCTTTTAAATTTTGAGACAGATTCTCTCTAAGTTGCTGAGGCTGGCCTTGAATTTGTCATTCTCCTGCATCAGTCTCCTGAGTTGCTGGGATTACAGGCATGAGTTACCATGCACAGTTATCCTGTTACATTTTCAATGATAGCACAACCTTCTTTTCTTATGTGTGTTTCTATTTTTACACAAGGCTTTATTATCATCTTGTTTAATGCATAATTGAGTACATATATATATATATTTATTTATATAATGCTCACAGACTTTGCATTCTGGACATATTATAAACCTCACAGTAAGCATAACATGATTGTTATAAGCATAACAAATAAGCTTAATATGTTTTAATGACAAAAGGAAATAGTAGAAATAGTACAAGAGGAAATAATTTTTAATTGGTATCTGGGGATAATAAATAACACATTTTTCTCATGAAAATTTTTGTAAGTGTAAGACATTTTACTAGTTTTAGGATTTTATTTTCTGTTTATAGCCATGAACATAACCTGTAAGGCAAGTATGTTTAAAATCTTTTTTCTTTGTTCTTGTTTCATAATATTTAGTTAGCAATAGCAAAGAATAATATTATTAAACTCCAAGAAGAAAACCATCAATTACGGAGTGAAAATAAAATGATTTTAATGAAGACACAGCAGCACCTAGAGGTAAGTACAGACTGCTTCCAGACAGATCATCCTGTGTCAGAAATTAAGGGACTTTTGCTTAATCTAGATATTTCTGTGCTATATTAATAGTAGTAATTATAGAATAAAAAGTTTGTTTTCTTAGCCAATCATGGTGATGCCTGCCTGTCATTGCCGATACCCAGGAGACTGAGGCAGAAGGTTGGCAAGTTTGAGGCCAGCCCCAGCAATTGAACAAGACTCTGCCTCACAGATGTAGCTCAGTGATAAAGAGCTTCTTGGTTTAATTCCCAGCAACAAACAAAACAAGACAAAACACAAACACAAGTTGTTTTGTTCTTTTCTTCCTAGGTCACCAAAGTGGATGTGGAAACAGAACTTCAAACATATAAGCATTCTCGGCAGGGGCTGGATGAGATGTATAATGACGCCAGAAGGCAGCTTCGAGAGGAATCTCAGTTACGACAGGTAGCTTCCATTCAAATTAGTTATCAAAATCCTGGGAATAATTTACCTTCAAGCAAGTACCATTTTGAATCTTCCAGTCTTTGATGTGGGATAGCAAATTCACCTCCTTAATGCTCTCAGAGTTTTTAATGCCCACTCCATTAGCATTTTTGAAACTGTTGAGTTATAATTTATGGTTATAAAATGAATGAATTGTGACCAACATTGCAAAAAATGAAATAGAATTGAATTAAATATGCAAATATTGGTAAAGTCATGTTTAAAATTAACTTTTTTTTTAGCCCTTTAAATTATGTAATGTACAGAAAAAATAAATGTTCAGCCTAATCTATAACACTGTAACCACTACCTAGGTCAAGAGGAGAATATTGCCAGCTTTTTGTTCCCTTTTGCTGTTTGTAACATTAGGACACTTGTTTTTTTAAAATATTTATTTATTTATGTATCTTTAGTTTTTTTATGTAGATATATTAGTTTGTTTTTATGTGGTGCCGAGGATCAAACCCAGTGCCTCATGCATGCTAGGTGAGCACTCTACCACTGAGCCACCACCCTAGCCCCAGGAAACTTCTTAATCTGACAAAAATTCTTTAAAAAATTAAACTTGTCTTGAGCTATCTTTGGTCTTTACTTGTTGCTTCATTAGCTTTTGCTTACAAAAAAATTAATACTGAATTTATAAGGCATAAAATATTCTTAAACATTAGAATAATGATTAACAAAATATAGAAGATATTTTCTTTTTCTTTTAAAAATTTTTTTCAGTTGTAGATGGACACAATACCTTTATTTATTTTTATGTGGTGCTGGGGATAGAACTCAGTGCTTCACACATGCTAGGCAAGTGTTCTAACCATTGAGCCACAACTTCAGCCCACAAGATATCTTCATTTCAGTAAAAAATACATTTGAAAATATTTAAAATTATGTTGTTATAGACCTGGTTGATTTCCTTTAGTGGACTTAAAAGTTTTGAGAGAGTAGTAAATCTTTCCTGATCTCATTTATTGTCCTGTAGCTGATTTTGACATTTATTTATTTAGTTAGTTAGTTGTTGATAGACCTTTATTTTTTTAATTTTTTTTATATTTATTTTTTAGTTTTAGGTGGACACAATATCTTTTATGTTTATGTGGTGCTGAGGCTCAAACCCAGTCCTCACGCTTGCCAGGCGAGTGCGCTACCACTTGAGCCACATCCCCAGCCCTGGAACTTTATTTTATTCATTTATTTACATGTGGTGCTGAGAAATGAATCCAATGCCTCACATACGTGAGGCAAGCGCTCTTCCACTGAGCCAGAACCGCAGCCCTGATTTTGACATCTTGAAGTGGCATGTGAATTGAAGATATGTTTAAATTGCAGGATGTGGAGAATGAGCTATCAGTACAAGTTAGTATGAAACATGAGATTGAACTTGCCATGAAGTTGTTGGAGAAAGATATCCATGAGAAACAAGATACTCTAATAGGCCTTCGACAACAACTAGAGGAGGTTAAAGCAATTAACATAGAGATGTATCAAAAGTTACAGGTAAAGAATGTTCAGTTCTTACAATTTTTCTTTATCTTTCTTTTCTCTGTTTTTTTTTTTTTTTTGTATTGCTCAGGCCTTATGCATATACTAGGCAAATGCTCAGACACTGAAATACACCCCCAGCCCAATTTCTTTTTATATAAATTAAGACAAATATTTGTAGGAAAGGTTTGGTTTTTATTTTTTATTTTTTTGAGGGTACAGGGGATTGAACTCAGAGATAAAACACCTCTGAGTTCAATCCCCAGTACCACCTCCTCCTCTCCAAAAATGTAATGAAAACATCGAGGAACAAGTTAAATATAACCTGTGTGTGTGTGTGTGTGTGCATGATGGGCTCTGGGGATTAAACCCATGGCCTTGCATCTGCTAAACATATACTCTAAATCACAGTTATCAAGAGCTCCTAGTATCAAGATTAAATCTTTTGGAAAAACTCTCAAATCTAAATTTGTAATATATTTTGGTAAACTTCTTCACACACTGGTCCTGAGAAAGATTTCAATTTGATGGCAATACTTTGTGATCATAGTTGGAATTTTCTAATAGAGTGGTAAAATTGCTATTAAGTAGACTTGTTGCTGAAAGCCCTTTACAATTAATTTTTAAAATGGCCTGTTCTACATGAATTTATCCTGTTGTCTTCCAAAAACATTGAAGTTTGAGTTTTTTCTTTATTTTAAATGAAGACTAGTAGCACTATTTTATATCATAGCATTATTTTAATGTGTAAATTAATCCTGCTCATTTAAAGTAACAATCCCATTGCAAAATGCTGTAGGAAGCATAAACATTCAGGTTTAAAAATGAAAACCACTGTGGCTTTTATGTCTTTGTAAAAAGGGTTGTGAAGATGGCTTGAAAGAAAAAAATGAAATAATTGCCCAACTAGAAGAAAAAACCAATAAAATTACTGTAGCCATGAGGCAGCTGGAACAAAGGTACAGCATTTCTAGTACTAGTTTCTTTTTTCTCCTTCTTCCCTCCTTTTTCTTTATTTAGCTCTGACATTTGCCACAAAAAAATTAGGAAGATATAGTTTAGCACTTTTTTGTTTAAGCTGAACAGGATTTTGCATTTTTTTGTTTTGGTTGTTGCATGGAATCAAGTTGCTTTATATTGGGCTGATTCATTTGAAGTCCCCATCTTGTAGATTTTTTTTTTTTTTAAGGCCTAATGCCAGCAATTTCATGTGGTTCAGTCTATTACCTAAAACATACACAAACAAAAACGTGAAAAAATTAATAGTGAACAAAATGAATGTTGGGATTATCCCTGATTGATTTCCATGCATATGAATTGTCATACTGTTTGCCATTCACCATCTCTTTATCTGAAATCAAGCATCTGAACTAGTTGTTTATTTAGTTTTGCTTCTTGGAGCTAGGACCCTCAACCCAACCCAAGATACAATTTTGTTTAAATTGAATCGTTTTATATTGGCATTTTTCACTTTTATTGTTGGAAAATGTAATGTATTTCCATTGCCCTGTCATGTTGATGTCAACATATGTCTTATCATTGCTTTCTTTGAATCTATTTATGAAAAACATAACTATTAATGCTTTATTGACATGGATATTCTTTTATTGACATCCTCTTTCTTCTTTTTTCTTTTTTGTTTTCTTTATCCCCATTTTTACATTTTGGACATCTTTATTACCTTTTTCTGTCTTTGATTTCTGTCCATTCCATTATGAAGTGACAATGATTTGCTAACTCAAACTAGGACAATTGCAATGTCATTGGTGAAATGTGCCAGCAGTGACACTCAGGACCAGTATAAGCTGGTCAAAGATATATCTTTCTGAAAACCATTTGTGTTGAACAGACTGAAATATAACCCACAATTTTATAATATACTAAATAGAAAAGAATTTATGCTATTAAGTATTCTAAAAGGATATTAGGAAGGAGCCCTGTACATTTCTTGGTTGGCTGCTGTGGTAGTACACTGCCATAAAGCAGACAGGTGCACTTGGATTTACAAAAATACATTCCTCAAACCTTGTGCACAAGGGCTGATTTGAGTATTGACCGTTTGGAGGTCAGGATTTTCAAATGCAGTTTTATCTTTTTAGCTACTTTTTGATGGAAAAATATAAAAATAAAATAAGTTAACTTTTGATTTCACAATATGTTGGCACAGATATTTCCCCCAACATTGGCCCACTCTTTGCCTCATGGCTCCTTTACTGATTTTTAAATATGTTTTAATATAGTTTACAATCCAGATTGGCCATCATTCTGTGCTTTAGCATTTTTCAGTTTTCCAGTTCCCTCTAGCCCTCTTCTGTGATAGCACAACTTCAAGGCCTACCTCACTGACTTTTATTTTACTTTCTGTATCCTTAGATAAGAGCTTGGGTCCACCCCCACTGCCTTAATATTTTAATTTAAATTAAACTTAGAGATAACTTAGTAACTTAGTTACTCTCCTTTCCTTGGAAGCAGCATTTATACTCTTGAAATATGTGAGGGTTACCCCATTAGTATGATTTTAAGGCTCTTAAAGAGGCTTTAAGGCTCTAGAGGGGCTGGAGATATAGCTCAGTTGGTAGAGTGCTTGCCTCACAGGCACAAAGCCCTGGGTTCAATCCCCAGCACCACACACACACACACACACACACACACACACACACACACACCAAAAAAAAAAAAAAGAAAGGCTCTAGAAAGGAAGAGGCAGGTTTTTTTTTGGTTAGTAGAACAGAAATTTCTCTTGCGATTCCCTACAAGGAATTAATGTCCTTGAATCTTGGGAAATATTTTCTTATAAAATAATGAAGTCAAGTCTCAGAAATCTTGATGGCCAAGGGAGGTAGGGAGTGGAGCTAAGGCTGGGGAGAAGCAATGACTTACAAAGAAAAACAGGAAAAATTGAAAATCATGTTTTTAGCTAATTTTTAATGTTTGGTGGTGAGGAACAAAAATGATCTCTAGAGAATGGTGCCAACTAGCACTAAATTCTTTTTGAATCTTAAATGTACACACACATACACACATATAATAGAGCTTTTGCATTATTTAGTAAATGCATAAAGATCCTCTAGGAAGGATCCTGCTGTTATTGGAGTTATTGTAGGTCTTTGCTCTTGGCCCCATAGCACACTTGATTCCTGGCATAGACATCTTAGCATAACATACAGCAGGTGGCTTCTTCACCTAGTATAGACATAAGTACTATAGTTTTCATGGTTTTGTAAAAAGGCAGTAACATACCTATCGATTCATTATGCTCTAGATAAATGGTAAAGACTGTATTGCTTTGCATTGTTAATTATGAACAAGAAATAAAACAAATTTGAAGATAGTATTCTGGGCATATTATATGTTGTGTTGAAAAAAAAAATCACAAAAACAGTTTCTAGACATTGTGTGGCTCTTTCACGTTTGAGTTTGTGAGTTTTCCCCCAAACTTTGTTTTCATTTAGAAATGTTTCTATTTCCCCATTTTTCTTTTATTTGTCTTCTTCACCCTTTTACACCCTAGTTCTAGCCTCAGTTTTACCCAAAGTTGATTTGAATTACACCAGATTGCAGCAAGCAGAGAAGGCGCAAATGGAAGCTGAAGATGAGGATGAGAAATATCTACAAGAGTGTCTGAGTCAATCTGACAGTCTGCAGAAACAAATCTCTCAAAAGGAGAAACAGCTGTGAGTATTTTGCTCTTGGAAACAAAAACTGTATTAATATGATCCACCCACCATACCTTTTTGGCACATATGATAGAATACCAATGTTTTTATTTATCTGGTGATACCAGCCAGTATGTTCACTTTAAAAAAAAAAAATATTGGGCTGGGAATGAAGTTTGGTGGAAGAGTGTTTGCCTAACATACATGAGGCCCTGGTTTCAATCCCCAGCCCTGAAAAAAAAATCAAACATTTAAAAAACTGTATTTATGGTAATATTTATGTTTTTATTCCCATTATTAATTTAAAAAAATTTTAAAGTTATTGATGGACTTTTATTTATATGTGGTGCTGAGAATTGAACCCAGTGTCTCACACGTGCTAGGCAAGCATTCTACCACTGGGCTACACACCCAGCCCTCTCATTATTATTATTATGACTATTTTGGCACTAGGGATTAAACTCAGGGGTACCACTGAGCTGCATCCCTAGTCCCTAGCCCTTTTAAAAATTTTTTGTATTTTGAGACAGGGTCTTGCTAAGTTGCTGAGGCTGGCTTTGAATTTGTGATCCTCCTGCCTCAGCCTCCCAAATTATTGGGATTACAGGTGTGTACCACCACACCTGGCTGCATTTTAGTTTTTTTAAAATATATTTTTTAATAATTTTTAAATATTTATTTTTTAGTTGTAGTTGTACACAGTACCTTTATTTTACTTATTTATTTTTATGTGGTGCTGAGGATTGAACCCAGGGCCTTGAACATGCAGGGCGGGCGCTTTACCGCTGAGCCACAACTCCAGCCCCAACTTTATTTTTTTTTTATGTGATCCTGAGGATTGAACCTAGTGTCTCATGCGTGCTAGGCAAGTTACAAACCCATCCCCTGCATTTTAGTTTTTATTTTATAAACATCAATATTTCCCCCCAGGAAATATGTATACCACTTTTGTTATTTAAAGCAAACAACAATGAAAAATAGAGATCTATGTATTATGTTAACATATCATTGAAACAAGCATGTATGCTGTGTAAGTTTCTAAGCTGCCTTTAGTTTTATGTCTAGTAATATTATCAATAACAGATGGTCCCCAACTTAGTGTTTCAATTTGTGATTTTTTTTTGACTTTATGATGGTGAAAAAACTATTCTGTAGAAAGTGTACTTTGAGTTTTGGTGACAGGGTATGACACTCTCACCATCCTGTGCGGTGGCAGCAAGCCATAATTCCTAGTCAGCCATGCCATCCTGAAAGCAAACAACCAATACTCTATTACTATAATATTCAGTAGGTTAGATATATTTCTTTTTTTTACATGTGGTTCTGTGGATGAAACCCAGGGTGTTGCACATGCTAGGCAAGCATCCTACCACTGAACTATAACTCCAGCCCTTAGGTGCATTTTTTTTTTTTCCCTTTTGGTACTGGGATTGAACCCAGGGGAGATTTACCACTGAACTATATCCCCAGTTTTTTGAAATGCCCAACTGTAATTGTGAACTTATGTATTTCTATTTTTTTGGTTCTGGGCTTATGTATTTCTATTTTTGGTTCTATCAGTTTTTGCTTTATTCTGAAGCTCTATTGTTTGCTGCCCATACATTTAGGATTGCTATGTCTTCTTGGTGGATTGACCCTCTGGTCATTATATTATATTCTTGTCTCTTTGGTAATTTTCTTCACTCTGAAGTTTACTTTTTCTGGTATTAAAATAGCTGTTCCTACTTTCTGTTGATTTATGCTTGCATTTTTTTCATAATTTAACTTTCAGCCCACCTTTATCTTATATTGAAATGAGTTTCTTACGATACCATACTTTTTTTTTAAATCAATCCTGCCAACTTAGTCTTTTGAGTTCATTTAGTCCTTTTACATTTAATGTTAATTATTGATTTATTCAAGCTCAAATGTCATTTATTTATTTATTTTTGTTGTTGTTGTTTTCCATTCCTCTGTTTGAGTCTTCTTGCCTTCTCATGGGTTATGTGAACATGAAAATTTCATTTTGGGTTTTGATTTATCTGTAGTGATTGAGTGTCTCCCCTTTATAGTTTGCTTAAATATTTTTTCTATATATTGAGAATATACCAATTTTATATGTTTCAACCATTAAACATAATTAACTTTAAAAAGTCATTGTTTGCTCTTTTTCATCTTTCCCTTATTCTTTTTTCATTTCTTCATTCCTGAGGTTCCTTTTTGAATCTCTATTTTTTTCTTAGCCATTTTTTTCAGGTAGGTCTATCCTTTTAGGGTCAGTCTGTTGGCAACACATTCTATTTTACTTTAATTTCTGAAGGTTGTTTTCATTAACTATATCCCTGGCCCTTTTATAAAATAAAAATTTTGAGACAGGTCTTGCTAAATTGCCCAAGCTGGCCTTGAACTTGTGATCCTCTTGCTTCAGCCTCCTAAGTAGCTGGGATTACAGGTGTGCAACACTGTGGACTTTTTCTTCATACTCCCAAGGTCCCTGAGACAGTTCCTTCTGCCCCAATCTGTTTTCTGTTATTAAAACTGGGAAAACTGGGTAATTTGACTTGTTCTGTTTTCAGGGTTAATTCATTCTTTCCTCATCATCTTTATTCTTCTCTTGAGACTATTGAATTTTTCAGTTCTAAGATTTCTATTTGACTTTTTTTCTGTTTTCTCTTTGTCCTTGTCTTGTCTCTCCTTGATAAGACTTCTTATTCTTGAAAGTATAATTGGTCATAGGAACATTTCCAACATGACTGCTTTAAAATTCTCATTGTCTGACATGTTGGCATCTGTTGATTCTTTTTTCATCTGAGTTGAGATTTTCTAGGGCTTTGTATAACAGATGTTTTTCAATTGCATCTTGAATACTTTGGGTATTATAACATTCTGGATTTTATTTAGATCTGTTTTAGCAGTGACCCTTTATACCAAGTGGGGATGAAAGCCCAAGACCATCCCAGAGGGGATGGAGAAAGATACCCAATAACTTCTAGGCTCCCTACTCAAGGCCATGTCTTCCCCATCTCCCCTGCCTTTGGTGTTTTGCTGGGATAGGGCATTCATTGTCAAAAAGTTTCTATCTAATTAGACTGTCTCTTTCTCAGAACTTTGGTAAGACAACACACTTCATGTGAAGGTTCTTTTGTTTTGCTCTTCTTGTCTGTGCCCATAGGTATTTATGTATGGGACAAAATCTTCAACATCCAAGCCGAGCTACCTGGAGACAAAAAAAAAGAAGCCTCTGGAAACTCACTACCATGTTGTTCCTTGAATCCTGGGGTTCCTAGCTCATTTGCCTTCTCTCCTTATGTCTTATATATAATATCTAGAGGTTTTTAATTGTCTGGAATCTTTTTTTTTAAAGCAATACTGGGGCTTGAACTCAGGGGCACTTTACATTCTAGCCTTTTTTACTTTTTGAGACAGGATCTCAAAAAGTTGCTAAAGATAGCCTTGAATTCGCTGTCCTCCTTCTTTAGCCTCCTTTTAAATATGCCAAAAATAATATTTTGAGGAATTAGTATACAGAACAAGGCTTTAGGCCAGAAAATTTTACCTTGGTTAAAGACTTAAATATTAAGTATCATTTTACTTTATCATTTATAAACTGAAACCCAGCATCTGTCCAGGAACTGGCCTGTAATTCCAGCTACTCAAGAATCTGAGGGGCTGGGGTTGTGGCTCAGTGGTAGAGCGCTTGCCTCAAATGTGTGAGGCACTGGGTTTGATTCTCAGCACCACATATAAATAAAAAATAAAGGTCTATCAACAACTAAAGTTAATAAAATAAATAAAATTACCAAAAAAAAAAAAAAATCTGAGGCAAGAGGATCACAAGTTCAAAGCCAGCCTGGGCAATTTAGAGAGACTCTGTTTCCAAAAAAACTTAATGAAGTTGAATATTTTGTTTTCTTTGCAAGCTGTTATTTCAGTGTATAAAAATAGCATTTTCACCAGAAAATGCAGCATATTATAAAATTAAGACAGAATTGTTCTTCTGACACACTTTCCTCCACACCCAGTTTTTTCCAATGGGAAGATCATTAAGTATGTTAATCCAAATCCAGGGATGTATATAAGCAAGTTACAATATTCTATAAGGCTTATCCTTGAATTACATGTCTATTATAAGTAGTTTTTACCACAGATAATTTCATGAATTCTGAAATCAGAGCCTAAATCTTAACTCTAAAAATCATAAAAAAAAGTAAAAAAGATTCATGCATACAGTGTTTATCTGTAGTCACTGGAAATTTAAGGAGTAATCTTCTTCCAGTTAGCAGTGTGGAGAGTAGTTTCTTTTTAAATCTTCTTTTACCACTAATTTAAGACAACTGCTTAAGTTATTCTACACTAGTTTACTTAGGGTGCCATTTGTACTTCTCAATACATTTTACATATTTCTCATGTTTCTTTACTTCAGATAGACTGCAGTAAATATCTCCCAGAGTTTCCTGTGCAGAATTGCTGATTCCCATTGTTCCAATACCATTTTCTATAGTTATCCATTCATGTTCCTCTGTAAATTTATGCACGGAGAGCAGAGTGGGTCCTGTGAGCAGTGCACAGCTTCCGAATGGCACCCCCATCAGGCGACAGGGCTTTGGGGGGCCCAGCACAGCAGGCGCCAGGCCTACACAAAGGCTGCAGGAGGCAGCTAGCATACTCTGCACCACTTGCAGCCAAGTTCGCAAGGGTACCGAGGGTTATCCACTGTGCCTCTACTACCCCCCCCACCAGTACTTTAAAAACATTTAATAATAAAAATAATAAAGGATAGTACTTTTTCAGGACTTCCTTTGGCAATAAAAGTTACAAGGAGCATTCATGTCACAAGTTCAGTAGCAGTGCCAAGGGCTTTAAGTCCCTGTGCTTTGCCAAATAAAAACACATGGAAACAAAAGATTGGGACACTTTGCCAATTAGTAGAATATAGCATAGAAATCCAGATACTAGCATTTGACAAAAACATGCAAGACAAAATTGATATTTATTTTGCAGTGTTACAACTTACTCTGATATTGTTATTTGATCCCTGCCCAAAGGATGACCTAAACAATGCTACAGGGACCTACCCCTTTCTTTGTAAGGCTAAACTAACTACTAAGACCTAGGTGTAGCTGTTGAGATATGTTTGTCACTGGTGAAACTTTATTTTTAAAAAATATTTATTTATTTATTTATAACTGGTGAAACTTTAATTTTTTTCTCTAAGTTGGTGCCTTTTTGGAGGGCATGAACATGTTAACAATTTGGAGACCGAGGAAATCTCTGACATTGGAACTGTATGTATAGGAACAGTCAGTTGATAAACTTTGTTAGAGAAAAATGAATTCTAGATTTTCCCCTAATATGGAATAACTTTTATCAGTTTCTGATTATGAAAAGATTATATGCTCTTGGCCAAAACATAAGGAATCATGGAGAAGCATGAAGAAAATTAAAAGAACGTGGATAACACTTTAATATATATCAGTATTTTTGTTTTTTGAGAATTAGGATCATTCTGTGTGTGTGTACATATAATTTTTTTAAGAGGTATTGGGGATTGAACCTGGGGACACTTTACCACAGGTTACATCCCCAGCTCTTTTTACTTTTTATTTTGAAACAGTATCTTGCTAGATTGCTGAGGCTGGCCTGAATCACTGCGATTACTACCAGTGTGCTAACACGCCTGCCTGGCTTCCCTTTAAATTATTTATTCATTTGGGTATCAGGAATTAAATCCAGTAGTGTTTAACCACTGAGCCACATTCTCAGCAGCCTCCCCACTTTTGTTAAAAATTTTGAGCTTAGTGAGACCCTGTCTTAAAATTTAAAAAAGGGCTGAGGATGTGGCTGAGTAGTAAAGTGCCCCCAGGATCAATCCTCATTACCAATAATTAATAAATAAATAAAAAATTTATACTTCAACACCTTTTGTCTTGCCAGCTAGCAGCTGTTGTTAGAATGATATAGGTAGGAGTGCTTTCAGATGAGAACTAGCATTTCCACACAGTATAGTCGGCATGGTTTTGGATCTATCCTGCAGCTGGTCAGCTTCCAACAGTAATCTGCAAATTAGCACTTTACATCAGGGCAGATTTTGCTGTTACTGATATTACATTCATTTAACAATTGTAATTATCAATCCCCTTCATTAGATTGTTTTAAAATTTTTCACATGGCACAGAAATGTAAACAATTAAAAGCCCACGTTGCTCCTCTGAGTTGAATCCCCAAGATAAAAGTTTTAATAGTATGGTATATACCCTTCCAAGACATTTTCTATACTTATACAACTCTAATGTATATCGACAAAATGACAAATTGTTTAGCAGTTATTTTTTTGTGGCTGGCAAATGTGTTCAGAAAATCCCTATTGGGGGTGTAGCCCAGTGGTAGAACACCTGCTGAGTATGTGCAAAGTCCTGGGTTCAATTGCCAGTATTGTTTAAGGAAAACAAACAAAAAACAAAACAAACAAAAAAACCTGTGCTGAATATGTTTACCAAAATGAAGCCAGACATGGTGGCAAACACCTGTAATTCCAGTGACTCAGGAGAGTGAGGCAGGAGGATTGCAAGTTCAAGTGTTAGCAATTTAGTAAGGCCCTAAGCAATTTAGGAAGATCCTGTCTCAAAAAATAAAAAAGGGCTGGAGATATGGCTCAGTGGTTAAATGCCCCTGGGCCCTGGGTTCAATCCCTGGTACAAAAAAGAAAAAAAGAGAAAGAAAAGAAAAACACAGAAATGCATCATAGAGGCAAAATTAATCAACCAAAACGCATTTCTGTGATCATAGAGGATGCTTGTATTAAGGAATACATTTAACTGTTATGTAAGAAGTGGTACTGAGCTTCTGTGTATTATTTGTCATTTAAGGATCCAACTGGAAACTGATCTGAAGATTGAGAAGGAATGGAGACAGACTTTGCAGGAAGATCTTCAAAAGGAGAAAGATGCCTTATCTCATCTTAGAAATGAGACCCAACAAATCACTAATCTTAAAAAAGTAAATTGTAGTAAAACTTTAAATATTATATCTTTTGACAAATATTCACCTATGTTAAAATTTATTTTATTTATTTTCGGTACTGGGGAATGAACCCAGGGTCACTCTACCACTAAGCTGCACACCCAGATCTTTTTATTTTGAGATAGGGGCTTGCTAAATTGCCATGGTGGGCCTCAAATTTGTGAGCCTCCTGCTTTAGTCAGCTGAATTGCTGGGATTACAAGGGTGTACCACCACACCCAGCGAATGTTGTCTTCTTTTAAAGTTAACTTAGACACAATATACATACAGGTCATACTATTTCTTGTCAAAATTATTAGTAAAGAGATTTAAGTAAATATGAAAAATGTGAAGTAGCTGATACACAGAGCAGCTAGGAAAGGAGTTTGGATACAGTTTTGTTTTTTATAAAAAGCTTAAGGATGCTAATTAATGATACATATACAATGTGAAGTTGCTCATTCCTTTTAAATCACATTTTCTGTCTTTTATTGTTTTGACAGGAGTTTCTTAACCTCCAGGATGAAAATCAGCAGTTGAAAAAAATATATCGTGAACAAGAGCAAGCTCTTCAAGAACTTGGCAACAAACTTAGCGAGTAATTTTTTTCCCCTTCAACTAAGTAGTCATTGACAATTATTAAAGGTTCATGAAGGCATCAAACTAATTAGAAAGGTTTAAATACAGCTGTGTGGTGAATATACCTGTAATCCCAGGAGGCTTAGGTAGAGAAAAGAGCACAAGTTTGAGGCCAGCCTCAGCAATTTAGTGAGACCCTATCTCAAAATAAGCAAGGGCTGGGGAATGTAGCTCTCTGTGGTGGCATGCCCCTGGGTTCAATTGCAGTACCAAAGGGCAGGGGAGGTTTAAATATAAGATAAAAATATGAACTATTATAGATAAATGTATTTTTATCTCTGTACCTTTTATTTTTTGGTGGTACTGAGGATTACACCCAGGTGCTAGGATTACAGGCATGCACCACTGCACCTAACTTGTATAGCTTTTCACAGAACAATTTGTATTATGTTTCTGAAAGAAAGATATCAGTTTCAATCTGACATCCATTTGTTGAGCACTTTGAGCCTGACCCTGTGGCTAAGTGCTTGTTACTATATTTCCCAGTATTTCACAGGTACTTATTGTGCTTCCTCCATGTGCAGGCACTATATTTATAATCTAAATAGTGAAAACAAAAATATCTCCATTTACTGAGATCTTAAAAGTTTAATATTAGAGCATACTGGCATAGTAAAATAAGGAATATGTTAATTTTCACCTGTTCCAGAGACTTTGTAGTTGTATTAAAGAGGTGGTCATTTGAAGATCTAGGTACTGCTTTCAGACCCTTGTTATTTACTTTAGTCTGGTTCACTGCTTCTCAAATTTTAGTTTGCAGGGAAATTACCGCCCAGGTTAGATATACTACACAATCTATAAGTGAATTTATGGGCTAGCTATGTGTAAGGGATTTTCAAGGGTTATTTTGACTACTGAATTATTCTCTTACCTTGCATACCTAACCTAATTCCATATAATGCTTATTCTTTTGTAGTTTGAAGTTGTTTTATTTATGTGCTAGATAGTTGGGCCCAGTGGCACATGCCTGTAATCCCAGCAACTCAGGAGGCTGAAGCAAGTTCAAGATCAGCTTCAGCAATTTAGCAAGACCATCTCTAAATAAAATATAAAAAAGGGCTAGAGATGTGGCTCAGTGGTTAAGCACCCCTGGGTTCAATCCCAGGTACAAAAAAAAAAAAAAAAAAGATAATTAAGTCAAACTTTTCTTTTGTAAGCAGTACTGCTGTGAATATCTTCTATGTATATTTTGGGCTTAGGAATGTAGTACTGACCTGACATGGTTGAGGTCCTAGGTTTAATCTCCAGTACCAAAGAAAATCATATGTTGATATGGCTTGAACTGTTGGGCCAAAAAGAATGTGCTGTAAAGTTTTGTTTTGGTATTAGGGATTGAACCCAGTGGTGCTTTACTACTGAGTTATATTCCCCAATCCTTTTTAATTTTTGAGACAGGGTTGCTGAGGCTGATCTTGGACTTTCAATCTTCCTGCCTCAGCCTCCTAAATTTCTGGGATTACAGGCATGTGCCACTGCCCAGCATGTAAAGTTTTTGTCATCTTTCTTGTAGTAGGAAGTACCAAAGAGTTTAAAAAAAAAAAAAAAAGAATATTATTTTGTAATCATGAGCCAGGTTGATCATGTTTATTCCATTATTATATGTAGTTTATTTTTGGTAAAGTGACTGTTGTACATTTTTTGGATTATTCATGGGATCTTTGAAAATCAATTATGGCACATTTTTTTTCTAGTTTGTCATTCATTATTAGTTTGTAGCATGTTTTTCCCTTGTTAATATTTCAATTTTTACATGCAACCTTTTGTCCATTTTCCTTTGTTACTTTTGAGATCATAGTCCCTAAAACATGGATAGGGTCAGAATTTTTTTTTGGTACTGGAGATTGAACCCAGGGATACTGAGCCACATCCCCAGCCCTTTTTATTTATTTATTTTTAATAATTTAATTTTGAGAGAACATCACTGAACTGCTTAGGGCCTTACTGAGGCCAGATTGGAATTTGGGATCCTTCTGCCTCAGCCCCTCCCAGAAGTACAAGCATTAAACCTAGGGGTACTTTATCATTGAGCTACATTCTCAGCGCTATTGTTTCCATTTTACGGTTTTTGTGATCCTGCCTCAGCTTCCTGAGTAGCTGAGACTACATACAGACCAGTACAGCTTATACCTTGTACAAACAATTTTTTAACAAACTTTTGTGGAGAGAAATTTGAAAGTTCAACAGTAGATATAACTTTCACATCCTTTTTTAATGATACATAACATGTAACCATTTATTATTGCTTTTTTTGGTACTGGGGATTGAACCCAGAACCTTGTGCATGCAAAGCAGGCACTCTACCAACTGAGCTATAGCCCCAGTCCCACCATGTAATCATTTAATATAATATAAAGCAGATACTTAGTAACAACCAATAGCCTTTAGCTGTTCAGGATACTTTGCTAGGAGAAAAAGAGCTGGTTATAAAAAACTATGTAGGTAATGATTCCATGTAAACATATATACACACACTCATAGACATGTAGAGAAAATCATCCCTCGGTATTGGAATCTAGGTAATTAAACATTGCTTTTTATTATGTGAATTTTCAATAACTTGTATTTTCAAAAGGTAGGAAATTATCACTAATACGTGTTCTGCATATTTCATTAACACTTCTGTATCTCCTTAACTTTTTCTTTTTCTTTTCTTTTTTTTAAAAGAGAGAGGGAGAGGGAGAGGGAGAGAGAGAAAGAGAATTTTTTAATATTTATTTTTTAGTTTTCGGCAGACACAACTTCTTTGTATGTGGTGCTGAGGATCGAACCCGGGCCACACGCATGCCAGGCGAGCGCGCTACCACTTGAGCCACATCCCCAGCCCCTTAACTTTTTCTTTTTTAAAATTATTTTTTAGTTGGAGATGGACAAAATATTTTTATTTATATGTGGTGCTGAGGATAAAACCCAGTGCCCCATGCCTGTGAGACAAGGGCTCTACCACTGAGCTACAACCTCAGCCAATGAACTTTGTATATAGGTTAGCAATGTGGGCTTTGGAGGTTACATAGACCAGGGTTTGGATTCTGGCTTTCTCATTACTACCTTTGTGACTTCTTAGAAGTGACTAAATCACTGGTCATAGTGGCACATGCTTGTAATTCCAGCAATGTGGGAGGTTGAGACAGGAGAACTGCCAAATTTGAGGCCAGCCTCAGCACTTTAGCAAGACCCTGTCTCAAAAAATAAAAAGGGCTGGGAATGTAGCAGTGGTAGAGCACCCCTGAATGTTTTTAGGGCCTCACTAAGTTGCTGAGGCTCACTTCAAACTGTGATTTTTCCTGCCTTGGCTTCCAGAATTGCCGAGATTACAGGCATGTACTACCACAACTGGTGCCAATTATTTCTTTCCTTAAAAAAAAAAAAAAAAAAAAGTTTCGCAAAGTGCAGTGGTGCACACTTATAATTTAGGAGGCTGAGGCAGGAGGATTGCAAGTTTGATACCAACCACAGCAATTTAGGCCTTAAGCAACTTAGTGAGACCCTGTCTCAAAATAGGAAATAAAAAGGGTAAGATGTAGCTCAGTGATAAAACTCTTCTGGGTTCAATCCCAGCATTCAAAACACAAATAAACAAAAAACCACCAAGTTTTAAATCTAAAAATGCATTTTCCTTTAGGACATTTAGAAAATATAAAATATGCCAGACAGAGATCATTAGAGTCATATATTATATACAATTATAACTGTAAAACCAATACCTTTCTAATTAATTACAAGGTGTTTTATATTTTAATGTGTACTGAAATTTGGACCTGTTTGTAATCTTTTAGATCCAAACTTAAAATAGAAGATATAAAAGAAGCTAACAAAGCATTGCAGGTGAGTAGAAAATGTTTCCATAAAGCAAAAAGGTATATGAAACTACAAAAGTAGGTGAAGTCCTGCATAAATCTAAGGTATTTTATGGATGGGGTATAGCTCAGTGATAGGATATGTAAGGCCCTGGATTTGATCCCCAGTACTGAAAAACAATGGGAATCTTGGACAATGGGTAGAGCTCTCCCCTTTATGTCTAGTATTACAATGATCTTCCAGATGAAAATTGACAAGACCCTATCTCAAAATTAAAAAAAAAAAAAAAAAGTGTGGAAGGCGGGCTTTGGATGGAGATCAGCAGTAATTTGCCTTTGGGTTAAATTAATAGTACGCCCCACTACCATATATACAGTTGTGGATGTATTTGAATTCACTTCTACAACATAAAAAATACTGAGAGAACTTCAGTGATAGGTACCTTTCTACCTCTACCATCTACCTATATTTTAATTCAAAGTATTAAATCTAAAAAAGTGCTAAACAGACTTAAAACAAAAAGTAATCGTCTCTTTTTCCACTCTTGGCCCTTACCCACCCTTGCTCCTGCTACCCAAAGGGATCTACTTTTAAGTCCTTTACCTGCTTCTTCTGGCCTAATTGCATTTCTATGTAAGATGCAGTATGTTGTCTATTCTTGATTAATCAATTTTAAACCTAGTTATTGACTAATATGATGGATGGGTTTTGGCCACTTTCACACTGGCCTTCTCTTCATTGTCCTCCCAGTAGTTAGTTTCTTGTGAAATGCATTTACTTTTTCCCTTTGGTACTAGGGGTTGAACTCAGGGGTGCTTTATAGCCAAGCCATATTCCTAGCTCCCCAGTTTTCCTTTAGAGAGGGTCTTGCTCAGTGGAGGCAGGACTGTAACTATTTAATTTGGAGTTAATTATTGCTCCTCTTCTTAAGTTAGCTGTATCTGAACATCAATTTTCTCATACCTTCTAGAACACCTCTATAAAATGTTTTTTTGAGGTTTTCAAACTGCAAAATTTATCACTTTTCCATGGAATCATCCTTCCTGTAGTTCTGTTCTGCTTATGTCTAACCTGATTACTCCTGTTGGATTTCCCTTTGATTCTATTCCTGGAGTTCCCCTTATCCTGTGTGTGTGTTTCTATTGTCTGAATCCCATAATATCTTTCTTGGGTTACTCCCTTATTTGGGGCAATACATCCTTTATTCTAAGGATTTACACATCAGTTCATTTTTTCTGCTCACAAGAGACGGGTGGGGACAGGGATGGTTTGTTCAAACCAGTATTAAAACTGTGCAAAATAACATCGTGTATACAGAGAATGCACATTGTATAACACTTGCATACCCTTTGCTTAGCTTATAATCAACCATGATCCATACTTGAGGGGCCCCAGTGCTTGCTACTACTCTGTCAATCAGTACCTTGCTTTTTCTTAATTATTCATGTATATTTTTAACAATATGTAGTTCTGTTTTTGTATGTAGGAAAGTGGCTTTATGACTTTTCTTTTTCTATATTATTGACCAGTTGAAGGGTTTAGGACAGCTTCTCCAAACTGTTTTCCACATTACAGATTTTAACTGAAAATAAACTTGTTCCTGTTTCCTTAATATCTGTGAGCTGGGTTAAAATCTAGGGTCTGCACTTTTGAGGTGCAACCCTTTCATGTGATTTGTTTATATACTTTTAATATTCATTAGGCTATTTGCTCACTTTTCCTTTTAGAAATAGCATCCCGACATATTTTGTCTTTGAACTTAATTTATTAAGGTTTCGTGTCTCCAAATTTAAACAAGTCACAAAGCTCACCGAAGTCATGTGTGTATGTTGGCTGGCAGCAAATTGTTTCAGTGGTAGGCCTCATCAGAGAGAATTTTTTAACAGTAGAAATACCAGATACCCTCTTTCCAAATGTCTATTTTCTCTAGGGAAGTGTTTTATATAATAGCGGCTACAATTCTGGAACTAGACAGAAAAAGTCAATTTATTTGAAGAGCAGCAGCCCACTACTTCCTTCTCGTCCTAGGTTTGCTTGTAGCTATTTCCTTGAGCAAGCAACTTCTGAACCTTGTTCTCTCATCTATAAAGTGAGAGGGGTGGGAATATTTGCCTGATACTTTGAACCCCCAGTACCAGAAAACAAAAAAATACGTAATTCCAGTTAGAAATTTTATTCAGGGAGCAGCCAGGTACAACAGGCACATGTTTGTAATGTCAGAGATTTAGGAGGTTGAGGTAGGAGGATTAAAAGTTTGAGGCTAGTTCAGGTCACTTAGTGAGACCCTGTCTAAAAAAGGAAGGAAAAAAAAGGCTGGATGTATGTAGCTTAATGGTGAAGAACCCTGGGTTCAATCCCTCATACCCCAAACCAAAACCACACCCAAAAACTTATCAGACCCTTATTTCTCCCTTTACATGTCTGATACTATAAAATGTCCTTGGGCAAAAAAAAATTCCACGTAAATTTTTCATACTTTTCTTTCCTACCAGGGACTGGTCTGGCTCAAAGACAAAGAAGCAACACATTGTAAGCTTTGTGAAAAGGAATTCTCACTCTCTAAGAGAAAGGTAAGAGAGGTAGGAAATGAGTCCAAAAACTCTTGGTGCAAAAATGGCTTCTCATTTTATTCATCAAATTTTTTTTCTCTGATTTTTCATTTAATAGCACCATTGTAGAAACTGTGGGGAGATTTTCTGCAATGCCTGTTCTGACAACGAACTGCCTTTGCCTTCTTCACCAAAGCCAGTAAGAGTCTGTGATTCCTGTCACGCACTGCTCATTCAGAGATGCTCATCTAACTTGCCATAAGATTGCAGAACTAAATCCTTACCTATGAAAGTTTCTGCAATGAATGCATACAAGGTATCCAGACATAAGCAGCCTTTAGTCAGTATTGGTACCAGTTTATCTTCTACATATTTAACTCATGGGAATTATTAAGTTGTATCATTTGGTATTTACTCATTGTTACATTTCCAACAGCATGTTTTAAAATAACTTTAATTATTACATGGAATAATCATGGAACCCTTCACTTCATTTAAAGGCCAGATATAACAGCTCAAACACATTTGCCTTATCTTGTAAAAAGGCCTTCTTAAAAATTAAGGCTTCAGATTGTTTTCTTCTTGAATTCTGTCAAGTTGGTATTTGATGGTGCCTGTAATTCTCTTAATGCACTTTAAAGCTTCCCTACTCTCAGAGAAAGAGACTGGAAATGCACAAACTTTTTAGAAGTATTCTCTAACTCAACAGAATTAGTATTTGGGTAGAATTCCATATTCACCTGTATTTTCCCTCCCTTTTCCCCCTCTTTGCAGTAGAAAAGGTCAGTATTTTATCCTACAAGATTATCTTTCCATCTTTTCTAAACAACCATTGTGCTTGCTGATACTTTTTCGGAGTGATTTGGTATTTACAATTTACTTCTAATCTTGAAAGGAACTTCCTCTTAAGTTATTTGCAGATGTTCTTGCGTGTGGTTACCCCCTTCCCCCAAACATGAAAACATAAACCTGCACCAGGGGGGGAAAATGTGTATTAATATGGAATTACATGTTTAAACTTTACCACTGATGACACAGAATTGAGAGTTCATGCAGACACAATCAACCTTAACACTAAGTTATATTGTTTATACCATACCAAGAATTTAATATGAAGTTGCCTGTGTATAAGAAAACAAACTCCTACTGACACTATTTCCTTTTTTATTTATCTAATTTTCAGCCATGCACTTTCAAAAACTACATAGAAACTTTACATTCCTAAGAACATTACACTGAATGATCAATCAAATGCCTTCCTGACCCCCAAGTACTTTTATCTGGTAGGCTCTTTTCCATGTGACCATCTCCTTTAAATTTAACTAAATTGCCAAAGAAAGGAACCAATGTTTTAGCTGGGCGTGGTGGCACACGCCTGTAATCCCAGCAGCTTGGGAGGCTGAGACAGGAGGATCTTGAATTTAAAACCAGCCTCAGCATAGGTGAGGAGCTAAGCAGTTCAGTGAGACCCTGTCTCTTAATAAAATACAAAATTGGGCTGGGGATGTGGCTCCGTGGTTAAATGCCTCTAATCCCTGGTACCCCCCACCCAAAAGAAACCAATGTTTTATTTGAAGATCTATTTTCTCCAGAACCCATAAATTCTAGTCAGTTTTTGAGGTTGGTTAGTTAGTCTGTGTGTGTATGTGGTACATGGACTGAACCCAGGGGCTTTCTTCCACTGAGCTACATCCCCAGTCCTTTTTATTTTTTCTTTTGAGACAGGGTCGCACCAAGTTGCTGAGGCTGGCCTCGAACTTGTGATCCTCCTGCCTCAGCCTTCTAAGCTGCTGGGATTATAGGTGTGTGCTACCACACCCAGTTTAAATGGTCTTTCTTGAATACTGACAGAAATGTACTTGAGATAGAATTATATTCTTGAACCATTTTGTACTGATGGGATAGATTAACATTTTTATGACTGCTGAAAAGGAGTAAGCATAAATGAAAGTTTTCAAACAGGTTTTTAAAAATTATGTGCTTGGAACGAATTTTAAAATGTAATTTAAGTTGCTTAAATTCCAAGGCAGTTTCCACTCGATAAATAAACCAGGATTTTTAGTCACCCTTTAAAATTTCAACATTCAAAACTCATTTTACTATTAATTTGGGCTTTTTTGGGGGAAGCAGCTTTAATGACAATAATACAACTTGCTCATTCAGTTTTGGCTTACTTTAAAACCATTTATACTTTAGATTTTTGTGTTCCATTACAAAACTTTCACAATTCTTTCTTTTTGATCATGAACCTACTGCACTTTTGTTTTCAAAATAGATTTCGTATACCATTCCCTTACCTAGCCAGTACTACCACAATGATGCAATCATGGTGCCAAGGAATTGCGATTGTAATTCTTCTAACCTGTAATGTTTTAAAAATAAAATGTGAATTTTATAAATCAAATAAAGATTTGAACAATTAGCCTGCTTTATAAACGCAGTTTTCGTTTCTAACTTTATACTGTCACTGCTTAAAGATTTTAAGAACACAGTTCTAGGAAAATAAAGTACATGGCTTTTAAAAATAGGTTGTTTGAGCCTTAATATTTAAGTAGCTAATTAAAGTAAGCTGGACATAGGCACTAATGACTGGGGGTATAGCTGGGGATAAAGCTCAGTGGTATAGTACATGTTTAATATGCACAGAGTCCAATCCTTGATACAAAGAAAAAAAAGAAGAAAGTTGAATCATTGCCAAAGGTCAAAAAGTTCCAAATATAAATGCCACAACACTTCCTTTTCTAACACCAAAAACCCTTCTCCTTTGGAGTCACTTTAAATTTTAATCAGTCTAGATATTATATGCAGTGCTTTCTACCAATATGGGTTGTAATTAGTAACCAACACAAAGCATTCTAGGACAAACGCCACATGATTATCTCCCACATTGACATTTATTACATTAATAACATTCTAGCAAAAACAAATAACAAGTTCAGTAACTGAATTCACATTGACAGGTTTCATTTTGATCCATTAAGCCAATTTGAGAAAAAAAGCCATATTGATCAAAGTGATGAAATTAAAAAGCACCTTTTCCTTGCTACATATTTTTAACTAAAACTCCAAACTGACATTGGATACAAAATCCAACTGCAGGATTGTTTTTGACTATGACATGGATTTGTGTCTTACATTTTTTAAATGTAGTCATTTATACACTTATTTAAAACCCATATGCTCGATTGGATAAGAAACTGAAAATACATCTGTGAGAATTATGATTCATAGTAAATGCCTATGTACTTAACACTGAATTCTCATGTCATTGAGAATCCTACCTACTCTAAACATCCTGAAATAAGTTATGACTCTCACCTTTTGGAAACATTTTTGGTACTTCAGTCAGTGCTGAGGGAAATGTATTCTAAAATCTAGGGCTAGAATTCAAACTTCCAACACTCCCATACCTAGGTAACACAATTAGGAATACTCAGAAATCCAGATACCTCTTAGATCATCAACATTTCAGAGCTATGCCTGATAAATGACATCTGAAAAAGAATAATATAGAATTAGCTGAATTTATACTCCTCAAGCCACCTAAACTCTTCTTTAGGCTTTATATTTACAGTGCTATCCAGGAGAAATTAAAGAAAAAATTATTCAAGCTCTTATTTCAGATGTCTGCTTATAAAGAATTGTAGTTTATATCAAAGTGAACCATTATTCTCTAATACTACACTATACTACTGTTTGTAGTGCTACCAGTAAAATACATCAACCCAAATCTTATGAAGGCAGCACATCTTTAGGAGTAACTAGTATATATAAAAAGTATCAACATCAGTGGTTTGAATATAAAAATTTATTTTTTAAGTCAAAGTATGCAACAAATAAAACCTACAGAAAACAGATTTTCCCATCACAATCTGTGGCTTTACCAAATAATATTTTGAAAACACATTCCTTCAGTCATTATAAAGTTCTTAAAATACAAAAGAAATTAGATCTGTAAGAAAGTCTAGTAGACCAGATGCTGTTGTTAGGACTTGTATGTTGGCGATTATGTTTTCAGTACATCCCACGCCATCCACCTCCACTCATGCCACCTTGCCCATAGTAACCTCCACTGCCTCCACCACCACGGCCTTAAGAGAAAAACATTAAGAATCATTTATCAGAAGAAATCTGTGCATCAGATATTAAAACTAATATCTGCACTTTTATGGGCATTTCAATTGGGGATTAACACAAACCTTTAAGTAGAAAAACTTACCATAACCACCCAAGCCATCAGGAGTACCATATCCTCCACTATAATTGTTCCCCATTCCCATTCTTCCAACAGATCCATATCCTCCCTGATTATCTTAAAAAAAAAAAAAAAAAAAAAGTAAGTTTGAGATCAATTGCCAACAAGCCAATAGTGCTTATCTTTAAAACTTCACATACCCATTCCATCTCTGCCGTAACCTCCCATTCCAGAACCTCCCATTCCAGAGCCACCTCCAGGGGTAGAATTCAAGAAGAGTTCAATGTACCGATGTTCTTTAAGAAAAAAGGTTAAGAGTAATATGAGAGGAACGATGGATCAAATTTTTCAATAAAAGCTTTAGCAAGTCAATTAAAATATGTATCAATGCTTCTGTAAATCGCCTAAGGAAGCCATTAAAGTATAAACTTTATTACGGACTGAATACTTTGACTGTACCAAGAGCCATCTACACAGATCCTAATACCTCTTCTACTTATTTCAATAAATAAGACTTTTATAAACCAGTGCACATCTAGGAAACAAAATAGCATGCCGAGGACACCACTTACGCATGTTATTTTTATCTTTAGACATGGCAGCTACTGCATCTTCATGTGTCACAAACTCTACATCTGCTTCTCCTGTTGCTCTGCCATCAGCTCCAATATCAATATGAACTCGAATTGGATTTAGTGGTGAGAAGAACTAAATCAAAGAAAACATTTATTTTTAAATTCCAATTATCAAAAGTAAATTACCAACAGCTTAACTTTTTCCTCATCCACTGAAATAAACCCTTCAACTGCTCAATCAACCAGAAGGTCTACAAACATGAATATGACTACATTCTTATTAAAAAAAAAGTGCAATCAAGACCAAAGCCCAAACAGGTATTTTTTAAAAACCTCACACTGTACTATCGAGTAGAACGAAGTCAAGAAATCATTTCAAGGGCTGTAGATGTCAGCACACTAGTATAGTGCTTACCTAAGTGTATATAAGGCCCTGGGTTTAATCCCACCACCACCAAATAAAAACAAAGAGAAAATCCAAAACCCCCCCAAAGATTTCAAAATTGCTGAAATTTTAACAGTTCATGTGAGAAGTATAAAATATTTATAGAGAAAACAGCATACACCATCATTCAGAACAATGGGTTTGATAAACCTGCCAACAATACATGAATATCCCTAAAATGTACCATTTAGTTCTAATTCCAAGTTTATATTAAACTTATCTTTAAAGGTACTTGGAACTTAGGCCAATTGGTTCCCAGTAAGATCTAGAGCAAACTTTTGCTTTACTAACCAGATCAAGTATATTGGGCTTTGAAGACCATTAGGTCTGTCATACGGGTTAATGAATGGGTGGAAGTGACTAGATTTTGCCCATGGGCTGCAGTTTGCTTATCCTCTAACCAATCTGAAACCAACAAATTTCAAGTCAGTGACAGCAGCAGGATTTATCTACCCTAGAAAGCCAAATCAAGCCACTAAAACTTTTACATATTTGCTCTTTCAAAATATGACACAACAAAAGAAATTATCTATTCACAAGTCTATATCAAACAGTTTTTCACTATTAACTGGATTTGGATCCCACTTAGGTCAGCAAAAAAATTGACACAATATCTATCAACCACTAAATATGGGACAGATGTGAGGGAATGAACCCAGGGCCTTATGATAATTCATTAACAGAATACTACTGAGCTACATCCCCAGCACCAATCTTGATATTGTCATTAATAAAGATAAAGGGGGGGGGGGGGGAGAAAAAAGAGTGCTTTAAAATTAAGATACCAAGTATAAAACCACAAATGATCACCAAAATTACTCACATTAGCAATATCATTTTCAGTTGCACGAAAAGGCAACCCTCTCATATGTACAAAATGACCACCATGAAAACCTGAACTCGCATCACCAGCTCCACCATAGCCATGACCTCCCATACCTAGAAAATAATTTTGTCAACATTATAAACCATTATGGATATATGTAGGAAAGTATATATATATATATATACACACACTATACAAAAGGTATAAAGCCCATAAAGGAAAGCACTGAAATATACCTGATTAATTTCTTTTATACGAGTCACTGATGTTACCACAGGAAGCTTACAAATACTAAAAAATTTACTCCCAAATGAAAATACTATTTTACCTCTTCCATCTCTCATTCTGTCATCAAAGCCATCATTTCCATAGCCATAATTATTAT